CTAATCAATCTCAGAAACAAAGCACAAGAACAAAATATTGACATACAAGGAAACAAAACAAAACAAATCTAACTAACTAGTCAAATCAAATCAAATCAAATTAATCACAACCAAAGTAAATAAATCATTCAATCTGATTTTAAATGTATGATGTTGTGAAAAACATGCATGCAAAGTAGTTCAAAACTATTGCGAATAGTTGTAGGATTGTTTATGTAAACAAAATGGCATTATGTAAAAACATAAACCTAATAAATGATTTTTTCCGAATAAAAATTTAAATGGCATTGAAACAAGTTGTCAAAAAATAAAAAAATCACGCCACTTTCTTGCAAATACTCAAAAATTCAATGGCTCTTTTTTAGTGTAAAAACGAATGCAGGTGTACCAACAACAAAGAAAAATAGAAACCACAACATGTAAAACGAGGAAATCTTCAAACTGTTATCATTTGACGAACGCATTTGATTTGATAAAGATTTTGATTTTACGATTGATATTAAAAAGTTGAAATGCGATTTAAATGGAGATTTTAATTACATTTTTAATGTAGTTTTTAGGTACAAATATGGTTTTGATGTTTCATTGATATTTCAGCTAGATAAAACATAACTGATTATTAATTTCATCATTTCAGTACTTATTTCTACGTGAAACATAGGTTTCTACACTTAGAAATACTTCAACATTTCTTTTAAACAGGAGGAGTAAAAAACATTATTGAGATCGACTCTTTATTAAAAAAAAATTACCATATGATACAGAATAAATTATCATTTACAATTATTCATAATTTACAACTGACAATCTAGTATGCCAATAATAGACAACAGTTAATAAAGAATAAACAGACGTAATGCAGTTAAACAGCTTCAGTAATAATGAAGATAATAAAATAGATAACATACTAATTAAAAACGCTATATTAAATACAAAGGATGCACAGTTATAATATTACTCGTTTTTTTTAATGACAATATTCATTACAACTGTTAAATAATAGAACATTTAGCAATTATAATAAATAACATCAATTTAAATAAGTAAGAGTACAAAGGATAAAATTGACATTAAAATGATATCCGTAGTATGATGATTTAATATAAAAGCAAATAAAATTAATAAATAAAATTTCTTAATAAAATAACACTAGCAAAACAATAACATAACAAAATAACAATAATATTACTCGTAAAGATTTATTTAAGGTTTATTAGTCCTGAACTGTTGTTGAAGAAGTAACAACTAAAATATCATAATTGAAGCGCTAAAATATATTCTTGTATCTAAATAAATGCTTTAATTTAACACACTTCCAGGAGAGCTACTCTAATTCTCATCGTTATGTATTCCAAATACAACTCTAATCTACTCAATAAATTATTAAAAATTAGTTACATTTGATTACTAATTAGTAAATTTATTACTGACGTCTGTTTATTTGGTGGCACCTTAATCGTATCCAACCCCGTGGTAAGAGCACAAATTTAAAACAAAAAAATTTAAAACAAAAAGTGTGTAAAAAATAAGCAAACTCTTTAATTATCAAATAAATCGATCAACATCTATATAAAAATCATCAAAATAATTCTAATAAAAAATAATAACTGCAAGATTTAATAAAAAAAATAATAAGTGGAAGATTTTCAAGTTTCAACTACAACACTTGTTTTTTATGATACAATTATTATTTGAACAAGAATTCAGCGGATTTCATTGACAAAAACAGTGTTAGATATAACTCGAGTTAAATGCAAAATTAACGATTTATTTATAATGAATAAAAAAAAATTATTTTATTCGTAGGACCAATCAAAATTCATCCGATTCTCAAATACAATACAATACAATGATTTTATATGAAAAAACTATTAAATCAATTTTATCATAGAAAACGACCCAACAATTTATTGATTCATTTAACAAATTGAATTTATTTTTATGACAAATACACACATCGAATCAAATACTTTAACACATCTACCACCCAACCGACCAACTAACCTATTAACCACGTAGATTATAATCGGAAATAACCACCAAATTTTTTTCTCAACAAATCTATTCATTAAGTATATTCTCTGGACAAATATATCGAGAACCTTTAAAAAACTATCCACAAATTATTAATCAAAACATTACATTCATCCAATAAACTCAAACAAACTAATTTATCTGAACAAAATTTACGTCAAACTAATAAGAAGCAAATTTATCCAAAAAAAAAAATTCTAGGACACAAGAACAAACGACAACGGTCCAATTAAGGAGCACGAATATTTAGTCAAAGTGCTATTAAAATTCTTGAAAAATCTATTAAACATAGGTCAAATCCTCCAATGACTATAGAAATCGATAAATTGAAGCTCTTTAAGAACTAACACTGTTCGCGCCATATCAAAGTGTGCGATTTATATTGATAAAAACAAAAAAGGAATCAATCCAAAACCATGTTAAAAAGGTCAATCATCACGATTTCAAATAAATTATCCCTTCAAAATTCAATCAATCAAATCAAAAAAAAAAAATTAAACAATTACTTAAACTATCCAGGCAGATCTCAACTAACAACAAACAATACCACAACATCACTTGGAAACACAAGGTAGATAGCATTAATTTAGGGTTCAACACGATATGGACCACGGTCTGAAAACTGACAAAAACAATCGGACCTACCTATACTTGTTACAAATGACAACAGCTAAACAGAACATTGAACTTTGAATCAAACCCAAAAACGTGACAACATTCATAAATAAAATAAAATACAAAGTATAATTTTTAAAAACCTTCCCATAAAAGCCATGATCCTTCTTATTAAAATTATCAAAAGCATCCTTGATACAGGCTACTTTCCCAATCAATGGAAAATTTCAAACATACTTCCTTTCCTTAAATCCGGAAAGGATCCGCATCTCCCCGATTATTCCCATTAGTCCCATTAGTCCCATTTGTCTTCTATGCTTATTCAGTAAATTTGCAGAGAAAGTTATATTAAAACATATTAAAACATATCATCAGTAATCATATTCTTCCTGATTTAGACCTAAGCACTCGGCAGGACATCCACTCACTATACTGATGGCCTCCTATACAAAATGATTATTAAATAATTTCCCTCCAACATTATCCATCTCATCTAATCTTACTTAACTGATATATTTTTTATGGTTTCTCTAAATTCAGCAAGATCCTCACTGTACCCAGTACCATACGGGTTACCACGAGGATCAATTCTCTCACCTACACTTTTTAATTTTTACATTCACGATATACCGAACCACGGTATTAACATGCGCAGATGACACTGCAATTGTCATTGTAATACTACTAACACACTTCAATAAATTATCTAGCTATTTTACTGAATGAAAAATAAGAATAAACGTAGACAAAACTAATGCTATTATATTTACCAACAAAAGGAACAACTATAACGTAAACTTTAATTGGGTTGATAAGATAAAGTGTCTAGGCATTGCACTAGATAAAAAACTAAAATTCAATTAACACATAAATACAAGAGCAAACTTATCTAAGGTAAAAGACCCAGTTATTGACCCTGGCCCAGTTTCTGACCTTTTCAACTTTTTTTGGAATTAATTAAAAAACTATACATTTAATGTGAAAATAATTTTTTTCTTAATTGACAGTAATTTATTCTATGCCTCATTAATGTAAATTAAAAAAATATAAAAAATATTAACTAAATAAAAAAAATTGTTTAAACCAAAAGTGACTGTGGAAGCCATTTTTAGCTTTAGTCTAAACAGTTTATGTAAGGAGCTACGACAATTGAGTTCGTGCACTAATTATGATGTAAGTACGAAAATCTAACTAAAAATATACAAATAAGTCAATAATTAATTAAAATTTATTTAAAATATTTATAAAACATATTAAATTTAGTTTATTACTGAAATTTGAGGGTCAATAACTAGGCTCAATTT